GAGTCCAAGGTCTGTGGACTCGAGACCCAGCTTGGATATCTCTGCTGCAGCACAAATTAAGCATGATTGGACAAACAAGTTAGCATGCCCTTTAGAGAGATTGTGAGTGTGCCAGGAGCTGAGGAATGGGACTACAGACCACAAAGGACACAATGGCTGTGCAATCACAGGGCATCGGCAAATTAAAGAGCATTAACACTTCACAGGTGCTCCTTCTACAGATGTTGCTGAGTCCAAATGCAGTCTAAAGGCCTTAGTGGAGACAAATCTAGACACTGACAGGCAGAGGAAAATGTTTAGATGGATGTACCCTAAACCCCTTTTTTTATTATTTTGGAATGTCTTAATTTACATTTATAATTGCAAATACATAAAATACTCATAAATGTAAGATTAGGTCATATAAACAAAAGCGAGTTAAAAAATAAGGTAGTTCAACCTTTAATGTCATTATTTACTCAATGTAACACGAAAAAAATGTTTTCCAAAAAGCTGCAAATATCACAATCAAATATGCCTAAATATTCTGTTCTCTACTCATGCATTGAGGAGCTTGGTCTTTCATCTGAATACCTCTCTAATCCCTCCAGGTCCCATACCAAAACCAGGCCAGGGCTGCCTGGCTTCCAATTTCGCAGCTGCTTGTATGTAGAACACAGTGCCAAAATGGATGTGGGCAGGAGTAGGCGAAAGCTGGCAGTATATATAAAACAGAAAACAAGCTCCAGTCAATGTTTTCAAGAGAAAAGTCTTAATAAGAAAACCGACTGTGAAGATGGAATATACTATGTTTAGCATTCAGAAAGCACAAAAATCCATCAAACGTAAAATCAATTTACTCTTGTCCATTTACGCAAGTTCTCCATCAGATACAATATCTGTGTATAGAAGTGAACTGCTTTTGATCACACATAAAATAATTTTTCTTCTTGATCTTTCATCACCAGTTCTTATTGAGGTGTCTCCATTTTTTGCAAAGGCTTAATGTGTCTTCTGTACCCTGTTAGACTGTGTTTAAAGAATATCAATGAAAGTTATGCATTGGGTTATTGAATCATCATGGTAAGATATCCTGTGCAGTATAGTCTATTTTTTCACTGTGATCAGGTAAAGTATTGGTCCTTTCAAAGAACATTGAACAACTACACCTAATCACAATAAAAATGAAACTGTGTGCATTTTACTGTTCACATATATGTGACTGGTACTGTACTGTACATAAGCACTAAATAACTAAATAACACAGGTGATGAGATTATTTAAAATGCTGAATGTCATTTCTGGTAAAAAAAAAACACAATTCCAAAAAACTGTAAATATATTTTGTTTATCAAGAGAACAATGTTATTTGTATCATTGATTGTAAGAATTGTATTGTACATAAAAGAACTGCAAAATGTTAAAGAAGTTATTTCACATTTGACTTTAAAAACTGACTTCATAGACAATGAATCCACAACAGTAAATCAGATAAAACTTTAGTTAGTAATTGTTTAAAAAAAATAAAAAGCATTTAGAAAGGCTAGGCTGAATTTCTACATGGTTAACATATTAGTTCACAGAAGATACTGTAAAAGAAGAAGAAACAGTTCTTTTTGTAGCTATATGGCCTAGGGCAAGAAATGTGTAAAGTATGTAGAAGTATTTGAGTCTCTATAAATATTTCTGTCTTTTAACATTATGTGCTGCAAAAGAAGGGTAAAATGTTATCACATAATAAACATATGTTAGCCTACAGTTCTACATGACAGTAAGAATGATTTCTGATAGTTTGCCAGCTTCAAAAAGAAAAACAGGACATATAATATAGGCTCTTCATCACATAATAGAAATTGCAGGATTTCCTTCCAATTTATGGAAATGTGCAAATTTTTTTGGAAACAAAATCTGTGGTAGACGGGTTTAAGGGACTGTAATTACAGACTGCAGTACTGCCACTAGAGGCCGCTATACTGCCTCTACTTGTAAATAGCCACACAAGGGGTAATTGGCTTAATTATTGTATAAATGATGAAAGTTTTGAAAATCACATTGTCACACAGTGTTCATGGTGCTAGTGGTGATACAGCAGCCCCTAGGGGTAGCTTGGCTGCAATTGCACCCCTTCTTATTAAATCAGTATTTCACACCTTCATTTTAAACATTCAGCTACGTTCTGTTAAAGAACAAACTGAATTCAATATATTATACCCCCAAAAAGGATTTTTTTTGTCATTCTTACTAAGCAGTACCATAGCAACACTGTAAGGATGTGATCTCCGGAATTATAATTAGGGGAATATAAATATACAGTACATGACTGGATGGATAATAAAGGTAACTACAAAACAGCAAAAGTAGTTCATTGCTCCAACCATCTCTGCAAGAAACATGAATGGAAATTGTAATCAGAGAAAGAGCAGACAGATGGATAAACAAAGCCACAATTGACAAAAAACACATTGAGGAATGAACTGAGGTAGAAACAAAAGATGAAATGAAAACATTTTACTTCAGTTGAATGCACCAAATCAGTCAACCTGAAGGTGTTTCAAAATACATTTTTTTAAGTGATCATCTCTAGAAAGAAGAACAACTTTTATTACAAGATTTCTGGATTTGAAAGTATTATGGCAAATAAAAAAAACTATGTCTCTTTTCTTATTTGGTGTTAGAGTTAGTGATGGGCACTGCATCATAGCTCTGGTGTCCAAGGATCGATACCAGCTTTGCATACTGTAGCTGTCTGTATGGAGTATGCATATTCTAACTTCACAAGTGTGCCACATACTGTACAGTATGACAAAGGAAAATTGAAACTCAACTAAAAATATGCAGTGAATACATAATGTTCTACCTTCATAAAATAAAATCTTTATTCTAAACTGCCTTTAATATGAGCTTATTATTATTGTGATCAAATTTGGTATATGTATTATTATCTAGTGCTTAAAACTTTGAAGATAAAAAGAATCTGAATTACAATGATTTTTAAGTTCTGCCTTCCAATGATGAATATTAGATTGCTAAATGTCTTAGACATACACATTTTCTTCATACTGTATAAACGATTGTGTAGACATAAAAGGCACAACATGTTTACGTTGTTTTGTTAAGTTTATTTTAGTTTTCAAAATGTGTTACAAACTGAACTGGTTTATTCTCTAAAGAATATTTTTGCAGGCCAGCACGTAATATCTGGTCTCCTTATATATGTGCAGTAACTGCACAAACACAATATTCAAATATAACATGAATATTCTTAATTATTCAAAGACATATTATGTATTGCATACCTCCTTCTTTTCTTCTTTTTCTTTACCTTCTTTGAAATCTCCTAATCAAATTCCTAATTTACCAAAGAATTAAATCTCATCTCAATATTCACCAATAAACATTATTTACTACCATTTTAGTATGTCAGATATGTTTCACAAAATGCATGTAACTTAAGGTCTGTGGGCATGTTTATAAGAGCCAATTTTTCTATTTTATTGCTGAAACTGGGAACAAGGCTCATCTGAAAACTAGAGAATAGTAATATACAGTACCTCCAATCTGATCCAGGTGAGACTGATTAAATATCTTTGACACTCATTTGTTTGCCACAATCTTTTTGGTTGCAAAAGTGCTGGCTGCTGTCCTAAGGGCTGGGATGTGAAGTTCTGATTTGAATTTGTGATATATGAAAGAAGCAGGACAGGCCCAGATACCTTGTAAATGAAAAGCAGATAGGTCAGCCTTGAGGAACAACCTGATAACACTGTCCTTTAGGCAGTGTCCTTGGAAATCAAGAACTTTTATTTGCTTATTATTCATCACAATCTGCTACACTAAGAAATGTTTTTAATCTTCCTTTGCCCATAATTTTCAAAATCTGAATTATAAACATTTTAGCACCATCATCATCATATTCTTATTATGTCGCTTTTTTAATGAAATTGTGTTACTTTCATGATATAAAAGAGTTTTGATTGCAGGCATATGACAGCACAGAGGAGGTACAACAATAGCCCACGGACCAAGACAATTAAAATATATTAGTTATAGTTCCATTTAAAGCAGTAAAACCTAAAAATAAAGCATTTTACTGTGTGAAAATGCACAAGTGAATGTTTTAACTTGTCCTTAATCTAAATATTAAAAAACAAGAGATATTATAGGTACAAAACTATCTTAATCATTAACTAGGCACATACAGTATTGTTAGATTAGCTACTAAACAGATTAATAATGAGCATTAGAGTACATTATTGCATTGTAATTACTGTACATACAGTATGTAAAATCCAAAGACATAAGCATATAAAATATTTTCTCATTTGCTGGGCTTTATGTTGTTTGCAATTTCTCACAACCTGTTTCTCTGTGTTTGCTTAATTTGTACAATTTCATCATCTTAATATACACAATAATGTCTGCATATTTTCAAATAATATCATAAAGCCAATTTATTATTTTAATGTGGATTATAAACCACATCAATCTGCTTCAGACAAGAGATTAATTAATGAATTGATTCGTTCATTCAATAAGGGTATTCATTAGACACATTAAACACAATTTTAGCATAGCAGAATTTGCAAAAGCAATTTTAGCAAAAGCAACATTTGTGAGCTGGCTAACAAGACTTGCATATGGCTTCTCTTTAAAAACTGTGTATGTATATGAACCAAGATACCAGAAGTGAGTGCTTTTTTTTAATCTCAGAGTATAAATTATACAACAGACCGTCTCGTTTAGTAAAGTTTTGCATAAATAATATCCCCTCACCACTATTTTTATTTTTTCATCTTATTTAATATAAAAACATAGATGCCTTGTTTCAAAATCAAAACATCTCAAGAGGCGATATTATTTTTTTATGCAGGGTACAATCACAACTCAGCATTCTAAAATACTAAAAATAGAGACACTTAAATAAGTGGCGATACACTGCCTTGGCATAAATCCAGCTGTCCAAGCCAGTTAAATCTAGTCGTATCATCTCAGGTTAGTTTTTTCTTTTCCTGTCAGTCACCAACTGTTAGACGTCTGAATGAGCACAGAACGTCGTCATGCATCCGCAGTACTGTGGAAATCTCTCCTCCCCGTTGGAGAAAATGTGTGGAGTTACCTTACCCACAACCAGTTGTTCACAAGCGAATAGTGATGCGTATGCTGTAGCGATTGCTTTTGTGCAAAGCAGGAGCCATCAGGACTAAACTCCTAAAGAGCTACAAGGGAAACTCGATGTTAGACGTACAGAATTTCTGTCAATAGGCATTTTCTTTTTTTTCTCAATTCTGAAATGCTTTCCGTCAGTAAGGGTCACTACAGGTAAGTTGGGTATATTATATCATTAAAATATCAATGATTTTAACTTCGATGTTCAGCAGGTGTCACTCAAGGAATTAGCTTTGAAATGTTACACGTGAAATATATTAGCAACTTAGCAAAATATCGTAAAAGGTTTATTTTAGTGGCACATTGAGTTGTAATGTAATGTAATTCATTGTACTTAATTGAATTATCTGTGAGTATTAACCCCAACCGAACAGCTAGGGTCTTTGCATATTTGAACACTCAAAAAAAAAAACAGCTAAAAAAACTCTCATCTTTAGTTTGCTTGCAGGTGTGTGTCTGGCTGTATGAAGTATTATCATAAGACAGCAGATGATGTCAATGCAGACATAAAATGGTTGGGTATGCTTTTAAGAGTACAGTATATGGGATGTGATGCCTGAAAAGTACAGTAAATACAGTAGTAAGAATTCAGTCGCAGGTGCCAACTAAATTCTGCTTAGAGTGAATTGCAAATTTACCATTTAAAGAGGAATTAGAAGAAAGAAAAAATATCTCTGACCAATTTTCAAATGCTCAGTTAATGTAATTTTCCCGAAAGTAAAAAAACCCCAACAGAAATCAGATAAAAACTTCTCCAAGTAAAAAAAGCATATTAGAATGAAAAGCTAAAGTGACATTAATTGTGTACAGTATCGAAAAGGGGACATTAAAGATGTGGTTAATTTTCAGTATTCAGTTATAGTTCTTAATACTGTGTGTGAATGAACTGACCCCACTGTGCATAACAAGTATAACACAATTCTGAAGAATAAATTGAGCACCACTTTTATCCTTCCAGAGATACTGTATATTTAAAAAAACACAGAGTTTAGGGTTTATCCATTAAATTAGTACTAGACCCCCCCCCCCAAAAAAAAAACAAGTACCATGCAGAGAACGTGTCAGTATGGTATGCAGAAAAATCTGTCACAAACAGAGAATAAGGAGCTTTGAAAGGAGCACGTACTGTATGTGGGCAAGGCAGAAACTCATAGAATCCCAGCAGGAAATTTACTAAACTTTGGAAATTCTACTGTGAAGTTTAATTATAGCTTAATTGAAACAGAAAGGTCGTCTGTTTAGCCCTGGAGGGATGCCTAAAGATAACAGAACAGACACATTGTATCATAAAGGGAATTGTGGAATCCTGTCCTGGATCAGGTTGTAAATGTGGCAGAATATGATTTAGGTTCGGGCAATCATCTCTGCAGCGTACTGTAGACTACAACAGAAGAACAGAAGAACAGAAGATGAATTGCATTGTCTTGTCCAAAGGTGAACAGAACTTGATGTATGATAAAGAACTCCATTATTCCGCTAAAAACATAAGTGACGCAGGGTTGTCATTTGACTTTGTCTAAAATCAATAGATAATTTTTGCCACAGGAAGAAAGCAATCTCAGATGAGCGCTCAACTTTAATGTCTGTTGGAAATCAGGGCTAAGCAGGCTGACAAGGTCTGTGTGATGCTTCTTGGTAATACTCTGATTTGTGACAGTTGGGTGGTGACATTGTAATCTTCTTACAGCTTCACGTGATGAAAGTCTCATCTCTCCTTTCTTTGTGGTCCCTTTATAGTCATGTAGCAGAATGTCCTACAGAAAATGCTTGGAGCATTACCCAGATTATTAATTTTTCCACCCAAAGATAGACAGCAGTATTATCAAAATAAAAAAAATGCTACTTTTTTTCATATTGAAATAATGTTGTTAGAAAAAGTACAATCTATTCTGTATACACCATGACATTTCCAAAGGAAACTGCTATTTCTAGGAAGCACATACATGGGTGATATTATTCAAAGATAGAGTTGTAGAAAATGGGACAAGATCTGATGCTATTTAATATCCAGAATGTGTGAAATCATTTTGTTCTGTAGAGATCTGAGTGATTTTGTAGTACAAAATCAACTAGACAACTGCAATTGTAATTTGATCATATTCTGCCACACAAAAGATAGGCTAATAACTGGACAGTAAAGTCCTTTTTTATCTTCTGCAATATGCCAGCTATTTTGGCATTGGAACAGCCCTTCTGGACTTTCATGTAGATTACTAAATGAAATTGTGAAGCACCAAGAATCTACACAAGCGATTCATTGTCACGGTGATAAAGTAACACCTGTTTTCAAAAATTCATCACAATTGAGATCTGTGTGAAGAGAAGCTCATTTTTAACCACGAGTAATTTTGTCCCCAAATTATCAAAATCAGCATAGTTCCCAACTATCAAGAGTACATTAAAATAAAAGCTTCATATGCACCAAAGTTTTATTTATAAGGTGACAATCCTCTCAAGAGAAACTGTCAGCCACCGTAGTTCCTGAAGTTGTAATTTATGTTCAATGTACTCAGTATACTGTATGAAAACTGCAGATACAGTATATGTTATCTAACATTTAAATAGAAACCATAGTAATTTTTAAAATCACCTGGCTCACAAAAGCATGTAATCTATATTTGTTTTACCTTTAACTTTTTTCTTCCTTTTCTGAGGAACTACTGAGCTACAGTATTTTATTAGTAAGCTTAGAGTTATACCTTTGTTGAAAATGTAGATATTTTCAAAGACTGGATAACACAAGCCATCAAGGGCTGGATTCCTGCAGGTCTAATAGGCATCTTTCAATTAGTAATTGACTGCACCCTGGAAAGAAAGAAGTAATGTGACTTTTCATTTGAATACTTCATTTTAATTATTAAGGTTTGGAGAAGAATGGAAAATGGAAATCCTTGTGGCCCCTGCAGACTAGCATTTCCCATCCTTGTTTTAAGGCATGGAGTGTGTAATGATTGTATTAGTTTTAGTGTTTTAGTTCTGGAACATTTAACACACTAAATATTTATGTTTGCATACAAATGGCAAGAATTGTTCTCAAATCAAATCTTGATTTTTTCCCTTAAGTACAGCTTTTAATTTAGACTTACTTAAATCCATCAAACCAAGGAACTGCAGTATATTATTATTTTAAATCCACTTGAATGTGTTTCATTTCAAAGGCTGTCAGTTGAATGTCGGGTCTAGAGTTCTTTCATTTTTAACAAATGAAACAAATTGTGAGAGAATCCAATTGCAACTACTTTGCAGATGTGAGCACTGATCATTTAGAAATGTATAATAAAAATGGAAACCAGACATTTTATTGAAAATAAAGTGTATTAGACACACTTTACTTTAAGATGCATCAGTCTTCGTATGCAAAATAACCTAGTAAAAGAGCCATGAACCTGTAAGCTAACATGTTATTATAAGAACAACGAAAAGAATGAAGATGCCCCAAATTAACAGATTAATTAACCCGTTAATAAACTTAAATTTCTTTGCTGAATGCAGAGGAGAGGTGCAGTACACTGACAGTTTTAAATTTTAAACATCCTTGTCTAAATAAGCTCACATTTAAAATAATACAGAAAATTACATCATTAACTTAATTCTTTTTTTGCCATAATTTATTATTCTCTGTGCAATAAGCATTTTAAATAATTTGTTAAACAGTAGAGTACTATTAAGAACTATTAACTAAGACCATGTATAAAGCCAAGGTTTGTTTTCATTGATATAACTTGGTAACTTGAATCCTACAACACTTTGGGCATAAAATTGCATAATACCGAAATTTTAAATGCTGTATCCTGTCGATTCCACTTATATCCTCTGGTTTGTGTTTCATTGTTGATTCTGGAGAAGACTATTGAGTTGACTTTGTCAATGCCTTTAAGCATTGACTGCTTAATCGAGTGTCTTCGTTGTCTTCTCTGGTAAAGATTAAAATTATTTGGTTCTTTACTCTTTATTTAAATGAAATGTTTTAATTTAATGTGAAAAGAATGTTTAATATAGCACCCAAGATTCAGTATCAGATATGTAGTTTAAAAGAGGCCTCATAGTACTTAAGTTCTGCATTTTTAATAGATTTAATAGATAGTAATGCTGGACACATTATACTTCATAGTTGTAAAGAGTCTTTAAGTCTGTTCCCAAAGCCCTTAACATAAAGAGGATTTATAAAAAAAAATACCTTTAATATTTTGGTAAAAAAAATCAAAACCCCCAATAGCCTTAGACAAAGATTTCCAAAGGAAACTTAGAAGGAGCAGAGAGTGAATTTCAGTCTATTAACTGGATGTAAAAAAGAATGCCCTAGTTGAGTGAAAAATCCAAATATTGCAGTGCATACTTTATTATCACTTGAGTACTTACTTCCAAGAATAAGTGTAAAAGCAATGAATTTGCATCCTCAGGAGCCTGGAATAATGCTCCACAGAGCAGGAGTGTCATGCTAAGTTGTTACAAAAAGGAGAGAGGAAAAAAGTGAAAGGATTGATCAAAAGGTGTTCTGAGACCAGGGGCTAAGAGTCTTTGTGGCTGCCAAACAGCAAAAGTTTTTGTCTGAAGCTGTAACCTTCAATTCGTCAGGCTATGCTTTTGCTTCATGAGTTGAAATTCTGATTATGCTGCAAGAAAATTCATTTAGTGATGTTATCATTTTTCTGCAGAGGATATTACATGTGACAAAACCACATTACGGTTTTACACAACTCAAATTTTCAATTGGAGAGGCCTTGAGTTGAATGGCTAGAGGAATCTACAGGCAAGATTGATGCTGGGTGGCAGAAAATTGGCTCTGCTAGATACCTTCTAAAGCATTGTATGAATAAAGCCAGCAGCAATGTCCAATGAGAGTGTTGAATTCATCAATTCTAACGGATAAGGCTGTCCAGAGAAATATATTTTTATTTTATCATGAGGAGAGCCAAGTAACCCCATGGGCAAGACCACTGGCTTATAAGCACAACTGGTTTCAGAAGCACAGATTCAGATCCCATCTCCAGTTCCCACTGCAGTGGACTGGCGTTTCATCCAGGGTCTATCCTGCCGTGTACATGTTGCTTAGTGGGATTAGGCTCCAGCTCCCCTGTGACCCTGTAGTAGATAAAGCGATTAGAGGATGGATGGATTGATAGTGTGGGTCTGATTTACACTGGGCACCATGGAGTTTACTTCAATGATTTGATTTCTTGTATTATTAGCTGTAAAAGACTATGGATTTTAGCAACAGTAATCGTAACAGATTTCATAGGTACTGTTCAATGGCAGGTCTTCATGCAACTGAGTGACATTTTTAATTTAACTATGACTGCTGAAATAATATTTGACTCTTGTTTTATTAAAAAAACTTCAAAAAATACAGCTGATGTTTTTTTTCTATTTTTGCTTTCAGATAAACACGCACAATCACAATACCTGCTAAATCAACAATGCATTTGTTTAACTCTGGTGGAAGAGCACTTGCTATTTTTATAATCAGCAGGTAAGATGACAATACCTACATATTGCATAAAAGAATGTTTGTGGAAAAAAACACAAATCCATTTGCAAACAGTATTATGCCATAAAAAACAGATAAAATATCTCAGAAGCCCACAATATCCAATAAAACTGTGCTGTAGGTAGTAAATTGCATTTTCCAAAGCAAGAATTCAAATTGTATTGTTTTCTTTTGCAAGTCTATAAATTGTCCCTGTGAGTTTGTGTGTGCCTTGAGATGGACTGACGTATGTGCCCAATGCTTTAGGGACAGGATACAGTTGCTATGTCCCATACCAGCTGATATGGTATGATAATTTCTGATAATGGATGGGATGAAGGTGAGACAATTACACAGAAAATGGAAAATTAATCATTGTTATTTGATTGAATGTGATCTTTGCTGCCATTTTGGAATATTTGCATTGAAGACAGGAAGGACGCAAATTAGTTCAACAATATATTGTTGCTTTGTATTACTTATAGGATATAGGAAAGGGTTTTTATCTCATATCTCATGTTTTTTCAATCAATGGTTTCTTTTCCTTACTGTAACACTAACAGATGTTGCCATCTTATCTATCCTTAAAGCTTGAATTCCATGCTTGCAATTATCTTTCATAAGCAGAGACTAGCAGGAGGTTACGCATTCATCTGTTTGCTAACCCATCTGTGGTAGGAAGCCGCCTGGGCACCAGGGGAGGCTGAACTGAGCCCCAACATGCAAGATTAATGTTGCTTCATGGAAAACACACCTGTACTCCACAGAAAAATAGTTAATAATATAAAGACTTATTAAAAAGCATGTGTGCCAAGATATCATGCATCCTTGACAAATGTTTTATGATAAATGGATGTACAATGGGCAGCACAATGGCATTGGCAGTCCCTTTGGTTCTGGGTTCAGTTCTTGACTGAAGCATCTGTGTGGCGCTTGAATGTTATCAATGTGTTTTCATGGGTTTTTGCAAGTTCTCTGGTTTCCTCCCAAAAACATGTGAGCAGTAGACTGGTGTCCAGAGTGTATTATGCAGTCTTCTTTCCAAGATTTATCTTGCAGGTTTATGTGCTGTTTTTATGTTGCCTACTGTTATGCATTTTTCCATTTTAGTGTCCCCATGTGTGGTGAACCAATTGGTACTGCCATCTTGATTAGAACCAGCTGCCTAGATGTGTGATGGTGACTGACTGATTCACCAGCTTTAGATTTCTGGAACACTCTTGTGTTCTCCATGTACAGTATAGTATTGTGTGTAATATATAGTGTGTAATGGAGGTATAGTATCTCCATGTATAGTATGGTCAGTCAGCTAGTGAGCCTATCTTTAGATTTAGTGAGAGAGTGAGAGACCGTATATCTTGAAACTTAATGGTATGGCAACAGTGTGTAATGGGGTTTAGGGGTTCCAGACCAAAGTGTCATGGGTTCAAGTCCTGGTTGTTACACTCTTTTAGCAAGGCATTTCATTTAGGTTGTTCTTGTTATATGCCTTACTGGACATTTCTGTTTTCTCTGTGGATTTTACAACTAGGTTGAGGAAGATTTATTGTTGGATTAATGATTGTTGAATTTGTGTTGTTATACTATATTACTTGGATGGTAGAATACGTTTTGTTACAAGATGTAGAATGAGTGGCAGTATAATGACATGGCAGTTAGCATTGCTGTCACACAACCCATGGATCCAGGGTTTAATTCCAGTCTAAGTTACCTTCTGTGTGGCAGGTTTTCACTAGGTGCTTTAGTTCACTGCTGGTGTACAACTGCAAGGTGTACATATCATTTAGAATTTCTAAAACTGTCCTGTGTGTGAGTGCCCTGTGATAGATTGGCAATTTATCCCCTGGGTGTATCCTGCCTTGTGCTCATGGTCTGCAGGGTTAGATTCTGGCTCACTACAACCTTGTATTAGACTAAGTAGTTACTGAATTGGATGCAGGCAAATTTTAAATTCTCATTACAGATTTCTATTTTCATTGGAACGTAATGTTTCATAAATTAGGAATTAGTTCAAGTTCAGTTGCAGGCCCTGCTTTGTCTTTAAAAATAATAATGACTCCTGTAAGTTCTTTCTCCATCATTACACTTTCAGAAGTTCCTGTCTCTGAAATCATGTTTTTTGTGCCTTGCTAAAAAAAGAAAAAACAAAAGAAGAAGGGAATCATATCAACACAGAATATCTGTTTTGTTGCTAGCAGGCTGAGGTTTTTATGTGGCATGATAATCTACTGTATAGTTACTTGTCAGATGCATACCTTGAAGTATGTGTGTGAAGCATCAAACGGACTTCTTAAATTTCAGGTTTATTGTCAGGTTTTGTATTGTGTTTTTTTCAGTTCCAAATGCAGGTTGAAAACCAAATGATAAGACTAAAAAAGTCAATGGAGAAATAAATTATTTTTTTAGAAAAATGACCTGTGAGTTTTCCACTTATAGTATACACATTGGTAGTGCTATTCCAATGAACTTTGTAGCTTGTCATCACTTTAATGAGCTTTGTATAAAATCTGACTTATTTTTATGTACATGTATTTGCACCAGAAAATAAATATCTATAATTATTTAATGTGTAACATATAATAATTATTTTTAGTACTAGTTTTATAAAACATTTAGCCCTTAAAACACATCATGGATAGTAAATACATTAAGGCTTGTACTGTAATTATTAGTTCTTGTCAGTCATAAATTGCTAATATGTGTTATAATAAGTGTTACTAAAGCTATGTATTAGATACAGAACTTACAGTACAGCTTACAAACATATACAGTGTGAATATCTTTTATTTTTAAGCAATTAAAATTAGTTTGCCTGTATATTTATTTAAAATAAAGGGTTACAGAAATCTCAAGGATTCACATACAGTATAGGCCACATTGAAGAAAAAAAGTAACTTTCTCAGATATTCTTAAACAATCACCTTATGTGGTTTTTAATAATAATAAAATGTATTCAGCAGTTGCTAAACTTATAACTTAAATATAACAGAATAAATCATTTTTAGTGCAACTGTTTTACTGAAAGTAATGAAAATGTTGTTGCACAGCTATATGCCTTGAGGCCAGAGATGTATTTTTCAGTTCCAGATTGTGACTATTTTGGGTCCACATTACATTAATGAAAATAGTGTGTAAATTCCATTTGGAATTCATTTGTGTTTACTTAGTCCTCTGTTTATAAACACAATTAAGACAGTGAAAGCTGAGCCTTTTTAGAATATCTTTTTTCAGAATATCTTTTAGAAAATTAAAATGATTTTATTTGGTGTTGAGATATTCTAAACTTATGGCTTAAGTTATTTCCTCATTTTCTTCCACTTTTAACTTCTCAATTTATCTTCTCTCCACTACCACCCAATCCTGCTCCTGCTCTACTACAAACTCAGTATCACATCGCCTCTTCTTCTCCCAACCCGTTTCTTCACTGGCACGTTCCTGCCACTTCTTCTTCAGCAAGGTTCATCCCTTCCTTACCAACTATTCTATAGTACATAACCGCTCATCCAGGTCCTGGTAATCTCTTGCCTGAGCTTTTGTTAAGTCCATCTTGGCTGGGCTGATCCCTCTGCCAATGCTTGTGTGATTACTCCTGTCCCTCCTGTTACTGCTTGTATCTAATTCAAACCCTAGATCTTGCTTACTGCTGTCTCATCCACTCTACTGCTGCTTATCTTCACTGCCTCACATCCTCCCCGCTCTTCCTGTTCCAGAGGATTTTTCTTTCCACCCTCAGTCCTTCCACTTCCAGAGCTTCTCATTGGTGGAAGCAGCTTCCCACGGAAATCAGAACTGCTCAATACCCGACCAGTTTTCTGGCACCTACTCAAGACACATCTGTTTTTAAGTAGCACCTGTCATCTCTCAGCTCCATCCTTCAGTAACTCTTTTACTGCATTGCACGAATCCTTTTAATTCTCAAACATGTAATGTTATTTGTCAATTATATTTATTCACTGTAAACATGGAAAAACAGGGCCCTTAAATTACCCCACTCTAACCACATTATCTATATAACGCTTTAGTTAATAGTTTTTTACTTTATTGTGCCCCCAGAATTGTTCCTTATACTTAAAGTAAACTTAATGTCAACGTTCTGTTTATTGTGTGTCCCTCTGGGTATTGATATCTGCTAAGTAAATCATAATGAAAATATTTAATGGTGTTGAGATGTGGCAAGGTGGCATGTACACAGGTAGAAATGCATTTCAGCCTTGATCTACCACCTAAGATATCCTTTAAGCTACAGTACATTACCAGATGAATAAATCAAATAATATTTGGAATACCAAACTGAAATCTTAAACGTTCATTATATTTATGTTAATAATTGCACCTTTATACTGTAGCTCTGAAATTACAACTAAGAGCTACTGAGGTCATGGCAGATGATGGGTTTAAAGCTGTCAGCCTCTGCTTAATAATCATGTGCCCTATTCACAGCACAGGACAACTTGGCTCATTTGTGCAACAGCTGCAAAACCTTTTGATCATCACCTCAAACCACTACTGTGAGCTCTAATTGCATGTGAGCACATCCTTATTATGCACCCTTCCAACCTCCATTAGTGTGCTATACTGCATTAACCCTTGCAATAAGACTAAGTGTATGACGTACTCAAACTGTAAATACAATATGCTGTACTAAGTGCAAAACAAACAAAAATGTACATTTCTGAAAAATGAACTCTATTTAATTAGTTGATATGATTTATCAAATAGTTGTTGGTACATAATTAGCAACATGACCACACTATAATTAGAGTATAGATATGAAGTGCAGTTATCTATTAAGTACTTAATTAAAAAAACTGCTTTTCTGTCTATCTTTGTGTATTCCGTGCTTTCTCTTTCAGCTGTGTCAATCTGTCTTCACGGCTATCCATTTGTCACTATGGTTGTACTGTATTACTATTTGTCCTTGAAATGTGCTGTCTGTTAGTCAGTCCATTCTGTGTGTGAGTGCCCTGTGTTAATAATTCTTTATGTACTGTAAGGACACTGTT